CTTAGCAAGAATCTAAGAATACATACATCAGAGTGTCCGTTGCTGCACACAATGTCCAAGTGAAAATATATCCCAGTTGTACCTCAATGGTGCTTATACGACAAAGTATTGTATATGCATCGAATTGACAGGGTATTTATACAGTATCATAAATCTAGAATATTCTAGAAATTGTTAAAACATGATATTACTGGAACAATCTGGACATACACAAAATTTAAGAATGTTCTAGATAAAATGACCAAACATGTTGACCACTCTGGAATGTTCAAGAAACTAAATGTTACTAAAATATATATGATGAAACAATACACATCTCACAACAATTTATTATCCCATAAGAGAAATATGCATCTTCAGAAATAGACGTGAAAGAGAGATTTCACACCTGTACAGTATTGAATGATTTAGATTGACAGGACAGTCACGTGGACTCCTTGTGAAGCAGGAAAATAAAAACGAGTATGACTGTCAAACAAATGGATACGATTCGTTGATTAAAAAAACTTTTTTTTCACTGTCTTAAGAAAAAAATCCATTAAGATGTAGGTTTTTTTTCTATTCGTGTAGGTATTTCTCCGTCACGGATTTTTTTTATGTTCCTTAAAACAAAATTAATATTTACTTACTGCTACTTATTTATAATAATTACATATTGAAGTACATTCATAAATTTACAAACAAAAATATATTCGAGAGATGAATTCTTTAGCAGGAATGAATGCATAAACTTTAATATTCAATGGAAAAACCCATCATGCTCCTTATTTCTTTATTGTCACCTTTATAATTTATGTCTACAATAACGATTTCTCTGATACATTCATCATTTGGAACAAGGAAGTGATATCGCTCTTATCTTGGGAATTCAAATTTTAGTACAATTAACATCCTTTTAATGATATATTTAAAATAGTTTGCTTTGTTACATCAATAAAAGATTTTTGTTTAATACGAACATATATCACATCATATTTTGTAAACGCCTGTCTGTTAAATCGCATTCCAGAACTGAAGTTATGAATCTTGATTTGCATATCTATTATACATTTTTTGTTAAAACTTCACAAATATGTTTAATCTATGAATCATACAGCCAGTTCTCTGTTGCCGATAAAACGAACAAATACAGACTTTTCTTTGAGGAGCAGTTACTGGGACCTTGTATAGGTAAAAGGAGAAATGTGCTTATGGCAATAAAAAGCAGAGAGAGAGAGAGAGAGAGAGAGAGAGAGAGAGAGAGAGAGAGAGAGAGAGTTGTCAATGTGAGTACGAATTTTAATTTTCGCTCTCAATGCTGCACGACTTGAGCGTTCAACGTTTGCGACGTTAGAATATAACTAATGCTTTAACCTTTTGAACCCCTTTCAGTGTTATGTTGTTTTGAATGCCATAGACTTCAACACAATTTAGATTCGAAATATATGTGTCATGTAAATATAAATCTATTACGAGTCACCTC